TCAATCTGAGGGCAGTGCAGAGGATTCGGAAAGAGTTGGATGAGTTTAATCGTGATTACGAAGGCACTTTCTGATAAGAAAAGACCTCCCTAATTTGTTGGTGAGGGCCTCAGTCGCGACACGGATGCCTAAATAAAGCGCTTTGAGGATGTAGTACTGTCCTGGGTCAAGAGGGTGGCTGCTGGAATACCCTATGTCTGGCAACCTGAAACTATGCCACAAAAGCAGAACACAGTCATAGTTGTCAGACAATTTCTGCGACCACTTCACCCCATACATCTGGCCACCTAACTCTCCAGACGGAAAAACCCTTGATTATTATGCGTGGGTCGCAATTGAGCGAGAGACCAACAAAACTCCTTGTAACACCAAAGATGATCTGAAGGCAAGGATTATGGAGCATTCACTATCTTAAACAAGGAGACCCTCAAGAATAGATGCAAGAGATTCTAATGTTGGATTATATTGAAGAAATTTACTCTTTAGCATTTCAAGATATTTTTGTGTAATTTTGGTAAATATATCTATTAAAATGAGGTGTCAGTGTAAGATAGTTTCCGGGCTGAAAAATTGTGTCACAACTTTCTTAGCAGATGACCTAACAATAGAATTCAATCTAGGTTTTCAACTTCATGTCTCCGTGAAGGAGGTTAGCATCAGCCATGCTGATGGAAGTGGTCTCTCAGATGGTTAACAGAGAGAAGTTTAATTTTTGAAGCGTTGAAATTAACAAGCCAATATTTTCCCGATTAAGAACGGACTTGAAGTAATATCGATCCTTCTGGACATCTATTCAAATCGTTCGTCATACACAGGAATAAAACTGATCATTACTTTGATTTTAAAAATGTAGCCTTAACTAAAATTGAACATAATTCTTTATGTGAGTCGTTCTGGGTGTGACGATAAACTACATCCGGCAACAAGGCCCCCGATCTGGATACTGGAGGTTTTGCGAAGCGTGGAACCACCCTTTTGTTCCCACCCTTACCCGGGGTGGTAGCACCTTTTAGGGCCCCAGCTATGGGAAAATAGTGAATTACTAAACAAAAATCAACACTACATTTTTATCGTAAAATGAACAACAGTATTTTTTATAGAAAAATGTAACAAAAAATATATAAATACATTTTATAGTGAAATAATCAACGATGCGACAAGATCCAGAGACGGATATGTAATCTAATTGGTCCTGATCTGGCGTCTCGTCTGCAGTCACTCTCTCACAGACGCGCCGTCGCCTCTCTTTGTCTTTTCTACAAATACTTTCATGGTAATTGCTCCGATGAGCTTCTTTCACTGGTTCCCAGACTTCATGAATTCAAGCGCCCTACGAGGCTGGCATCGCGCTCCCACCCTTACACTATAGACATTTTTAAATGTAGCCGTCTCTTCTATTCCAATAGCTTCATACCTCGCACCTCTGGCCCGTGGAACACCCTTCCCAATTACTGTTTCCCTGAGAGCTATAATCTCCAACTATTCAAATGTAATGTCAATCGACATCTCCAGTTACCTTGATCTATCCACTATCTCTCTCCTCATCCTTTCTTCTATCACTCCTATCTGCTCTTGCTCCAAATCTTCTGCAACCCCTTGCATCCTCGTGGCTTCACGCCTTGCTCGGGGCGTAATGCTTAAAAAAAATACATTTTATTAATTACAAACTATATATTTAAAAAACATACCTTTACTCAAAGTAATAAATTATTTTCGAATTATATTCAGTTAAAACCATAAGATTGCATTCAAAATATTTAGATTTCAGTATTAATAACCCATAGAGATGTTGATATACCACTAAATAAAATCAACAAATGAACAACTATTTTTCTTTGCTTCTAACAAGATTTATCTGTTTATTAATACTTTGCTTAGTTTTTGAAAATCTTCTTTTGCTATCCCAATGTTTCTTCGTAATTTACAGTCGCATTTTCAATCCTTTGTCAAAACACTTCCATGATATTTAAACTTTTCCATGCTTAATTTTGGAATCTCCATTTTAAAATACGCGTTTTTGACATTTTCGTTTCCGAAGGAAGATGATGAAAATAGAAAGAAAATGGATACTGGCAATTTTCTGGAATGGCTCCCTTCCAATTCTAACGGGTTCAGTCAGCCCTGCTATTAACCCCTAGATTGATTCTGAGGTAGAGACATGGATTCATGTCGTTCCCATGGTATTTAAGCGAAAGTGAATGCAATGACCTCAGCTGCAATTTGTGCGCGCGGCAAACCAATCCCAGTTTCTGTACCGATAACCATTACAAAGTCAGTAGATGCCAATAACACCTCTATAATATTGCTTTCCGAAAGAAAGAAATGTAACTTCGGTTTTTACTGGGAGTTCTGGTATCATGTCTATGAGTAACAATTCTGTTCGTTGCTAGGACATTTTGATACCGGGATGAATAATGCCAATTGGCGTTAGATGCAAGATAGTATCTGGAAATCGTTAATAGATTCAGTCTAGCTTGTTCGTTGATAGGATTGATATATCGATCAAATTAGAACGTTCTCTATCAGTTCAGTTAAGAAATATTGCTTAACTTTTGGTGTGGTGGTTTTCTAGGCGTTGCTTATATGTGAGAGAAAAGTCGGAAGTATGTATTTCTAAAAATGTTGCATTTAATCGTTATTCTCACGATATTTATCTTGTGCCCTTTGGGTTTTTTTTAGGTATGTGATGATGTGGGTAACATTCAAGGAATTTCGAACAGCCCTTTATTTTTACTTCGGGGTGAACAATTCTCGTTCCGCTTGCCATGTCTCGGGATATCTCACCTTCTTCATATTTCTTCCTACTCAGTTATTGTTCACCTTGTTTTAAGTGAGTCTCTACTACACGACCCAGGGGAAACGTATGCAAAATTTCATTTAAGCAAGTAAGATGAACTTCAATGTGATTTTAACAAAGACTTGGAACTTGGGATGTTACATGGCGAATAATTTATGTCAGTGTTTAGAAGAATTCATTTAAATGGTAAGCGTAGATCACAGAGATCTGTCTTTTAGACAGCAGCACTCCATTGGCGCAACGGGAATTTCTTGTATCATCTCGCAAAAATAGATAGAACTGGAAGTTCTTGAACCCCATATTATAAAATGCCTTGTACCATATTACATTTTAGTCAACTTTTCGATTTTATATTTGGAACCAGTCGTGTCTTGTGTTTGGGGGAGAGACAACACAATTGAAGCGAATCTATTCTCTGGAGATCCATTTCTCCGATAACTCTTCCCATTTCTCTAACAGATTGGCGTCAGGGGAATTTCATAACGTCTGCAGGAATGTACCGATAGGCAATATCTTTAATCCACCCATACACAAATGTGCGTGGCTTTTCCAACTTAAAAAGGGTTGTGTAGCGAATTATATCCTCATGAGAAGTCTAAGTACAGTAATATCATCAGCAACCAGTCAACACATAATATTACCCTCGCGCATCAAGACTGCCATCTATCGATTTTCACACGTAATCAAAGAGATATTTACCCTTTATAATTTCTCAAATTTTTAGAACATCTATTTTTAAATTATTGCAGAGAAACACTTACAGCTATAATCAGTTGTTAACTGGTGCAAGAAATGGCTTGTAAAATTGAACGCCTCCAAAGCAAAACTGCTCTCATTTAATCACCACAGAGAAATTTTTTTCTGTCTGACATCATCATGGCTGATGCTAACCTCCAGAAGAGCGACACTTTACGCCTTCTTGGCTTCACGTTTTTTTATTGACATGAAGTGGAGTGACTAAATCGTATCAACTGCTACGTCTGCTGCAAGGAAAATTAGTTCACTATGACGTGTCAAAAAATTCGTTTCGTCAGAATCCATCTTGCACATTTATAAATCTACTATTCTTCAGTGTATTGAATACATTTGCTATATCTGGTCTAATTTCTTCTGCTGTACATCTCGAGTTTCTTGACTAAATCCCCCCCCCAAAAATAGGCTGTAATGTAATCAATCCTGACCAGCCGCTTCAGTCGCTTTCTCACCGACGTAACGTGGCTTCTCTCTGTCTTTTCTATAAACATTTTCATCGCAAATGTTCTGACAATCTTTTTTCCCTGATGCCCCGACAACATGAATTTAAGCATGTTACTAGGCCAGGTATCACCTTTTTACTGTTGAACTCGCTAGATTCTACAACCATTTCTACTTTAACAGTTTCTTTTCTCACACTTTCTACCCGTGGGACTCCATTCCGATTTCTTTCTTCCCTGATAACTACAATCCTCAAGAATTTAAAGGTAACGTCAATCACCATCTTCCGTTTTCTTGACTGCTGTCCCTGTTGGCACTTTCCACAATCCTTCCACTTCTCAGTCTTCTCATTCTCTAACACATTCACTCCCTGTCATGACCTGTGTTGTGGCATTATCGCCTTGCTTGGGGTGAAATGATTACAAAAACAATAAATAAATAAACTCATGACTGCTTAATGACGAAAATCAAACGTTTAGTGTTTGTACATTTTATCCATTGTGGTTGTCAGTGTCTTGTGTTTAGCCTATTTTTAGGAAATGAATTTAATATGAAAGTATTGCAAGAACAACTCACCTTCGATTAAATTCAAAAAGCTTCAACAACTTTTATACCAAGCAGGACAGTAGCTGGTTACCATTTCTTTTGTAGTTCCAATATCTTTATTTTCGGTTGGAAAGATATCGGCATGTTCAGGGCTCAAATTGAAGAATTTCGGCAATTTAGAGTAGTTGCGTAGATTTTCTCAAGATTAAAAGAGATTGTATATTGGCAGTTGGCGGTGATGGAGAGGAAATCGTTATATTGGCCACAAGTAAATGAAAAACATGTCTAGGATGAGAAGCCTGGCAGGGAAACTTAAACGATACAAGGAAACAGAGCAGAAATATTTGGAGAGAACTTTATTGAATGCAAAAAAAAAAAAAAAAAAAGGAGACTCAAAAGTTTTGGAAAGAACAGAGTCAACAAAGAGAAGAGAGAAAAAAGGAAATATAAAAGGAAAAAGTGATTAAGAAAGACAGAGAAGAGAGAGAGATAGGAATAAAGAGCGAGAAAGAGATAAAGAAAGAGAGAGAGAAAGAAAGAGAAAAGAGAGAGAGAAAGAAGGAAAGGGAAAAGAGAAAGAAAGAGAGGGATAAAAGAGAAAGAGAAAAGACAGAGAGAAAGAAAGTGCAAGAAGAGAATAGATTAATAGAAAAGAAAGAGTGAAAGAAAGAGAGAAAATAGAGAGAGAAAAATAGAGAAAGAAAGAAAGAGAGAAAATATAGAGAGAAAAATAGAGAAAGAAAGAAAGAGAGAAAATATAGAGAGAAAAATAGAGAAAGAAAGAAAGAAAGAAAGAGAGAAAATATATAGAGAAAAATAGAGAAAAAAAGAGAAAATAAAGAAAAAAAGAAAGAAAGAAAGAAAGAAAGAGAGAAAATATATAGAGAAAAATAGCCTAATCTAGGTCTAATGTAATTTGACCTCAGTTTGCCGATTCCACTTAAAGCACCGATAACACTTACACTGAACATATATTCTCAGATAAGATCCCTAAAACTGATTCATTCCATGTCTATTTTAAAAGGATTCCTGGCACGATATTTTCTGTTGGATAACTTTAATCTATTGAACTGATTTTAACAAAAATGCAAAAATTGCTATGCAAAAATTTACAGTTTTTTTTTTACCTATCGGTTATTCGGTAAGATCTACCCGCTTCCTTTGTGCTTGCTCTCTTGTGCACAAAATACAAGTACCAGCACGTTCATTCATTCATCAGAGCTGGTTGGACTTGAAGTCCCACTGTAAGTCATTTTCAGCATGGCCGGTCGTTTCCAAGCATTTCCATCTCCTCAGGACCATTTGTGCTTCTTCAACATCCACAGAGGCAACCAGGAGTTTAAACGGCAACTATGTAGGGCGAACCTTTGTTACAGTTAAAGTATGTTTCCCACAAGGGCCACAAACGGTGCCGAATTTAGAATTGTCTTTCCCCTAGACTGATTATTAACGGATATATGATTCTGCCGAAGGATTCTGAGAATACCATTGATAGAACACGTAAGCAACAATGAGGTTTTAAAGAAAGCTAGAACGAAAACGACTCTTATACAATAGACATTATATAATTTCTTTTCTCTCAGAAGAAAGAAGGTAATTTTTAGTTACGTAAATCAAAAAGAAAAAGTTAGCGTAACAAACAATGAAACCTGGCTAATTTCGCTTCAGACAAAGAGAGCTGAACTGCTATGCAATTTCAAACCTCCTATATAGCCGTGGATACTAATGAATTGCCTTACAGGTGAACGGGAGACTTTGGACAACAGAAACAAAGAAACGATTGCTGAAATGCTATGTGATATCAGTTCTCCTACATGTTAATGAATACTGGAAATTTCCTCACAGGTGAGGGGGAGACTTCTTGAGACAATAGAAAAAAGAAAAGAATTTGGAACTGCAATGTAATATAAATCTTCATATATGACAGTAAATACTGGACAATTTACCCTCAGAGGAAGACGAGACTTAAGATAACAGAAACAATGAAATGAGTACTGAACTGCTATGTAATATCAATCCTGCTATTTTGCAGTGAATACTGAACAATTTCCTCACAGGTGAGTCTAACTTATCTGAAACAAAGAAAAGAGTGATAAATGTTGTTATATCAATACATATATATTGCAGTGATTGCTAGGCAGTTTCATCATAGGTGAAAAGGAGACTTGAGGCAACAGAAGGATACTGAGAATAGACGGGACATGTGAGCAATGAGGGGATGTTTTATGGAAAATGAGAAATGAGTGCTAGGCGAATTTGATATTCACAAGATATACTCAAGGCAAGATGGGGCTAGGGGAAATTGTCGAAGTTGACTATGACTGAAAACGCTCTGAAAAGAGACGGCACATAAAAGCAGAATTTTCTTGAATACACAACTTTCGTTTCAACTCATCCACGCCATTTCGCCTTTTTACTTTCATTGCGATTCGGAGTTCAACAGACAGGTCACATGTTTTCACATCACTGGACATTAGAGGCTCGGCCCTGCTGACCTGGATCATTTACACTGAACACTGCACCTCGTCGGCTTAGTCTATGTAAAACTATCTAAATCTTTTACTATCGACGCTAAATTTTGTGTATATAAATATTTATAAATTTGTTTATATAAATATTTCCTAAACCTATTCTCACTTAAGGTAAGAATAAAGAAAATCCAAAGTAGACAGAACACCTTAGCAATGGCTTTCCGGATTCTTAATATTCAATGTGCAACAATCTTAGTCATTTTTAATTTATCTAAAGATTTGGCTGAGATAGTCGCGTATTTGACGCGGACGCCTGTACTCCGCATCCAAATCGAGTGAAAGTTAGCATTTTATGTCGACATTCAATTTATTCGATTGTGTAACACACTCGGGCAGCTATTCATAAGTCATACAAAACCGAGAATATCTATCTATCTATCTATCTACTAAATCACGTGTTAAACTTCGTCATACATTGTATTTTTCATTGCAGTGCGTGTTGACTTCAATGTGCACTTTTTAAATAAATATATATATATATATATATATATATATATATATATATATATATATATATATATATATATAATAAAGAGAGAGAGACGCACAGAGAAGAGTGAGAGATGGTATATTTACACATTAAGAATCTATTTAAACAACTTTTTGTGAATGTTCACACGCTACAATTTATATATTTAACTAATTTCATTTTGTAAATTTCGAATAAGTTCATGTTCATTCAAATCAAATACGATATTTTTAAATGTGCATAAAAACATAATCTAATCTATTTTTCATTTCAGTCTGTACGTATATAATCTGGCTGTATTTATTTGCCTATTTAAATCTCTCTCTCTCTCTCTCTCTCTCTATATATATATATATATATATATATATATTAATCGAGCCAAAGGACCTTAAAATATATATTACTATATTGCATGCGATGTAGCAGTTGTCCTGTGATTCACTGCTTCTGTGAGTAAGGGTAGTTATGACATCAGCAGTGGATCTGACCGATCGAAACCCGTACTATTTGTCGCTCAAGAGATTGTTCCTATTTAAGTGATTCACAACCTTCTTGCGGATTATAATTACAAAATCTTGCTAATGACACCGCGGAGAATGATAGTTATATACTCAGAGGCTCACCCACGATTTTGAAAACTGGGGATACACTTGACACCTTCTGTAGATGTTGGAAGGTGTTTATCGCCTTGATAATAATGATTAACTTTGTTGTTTCTACTTTGTTTTTTGTGTAATGCGATCTACGATATCGTGGTAATTCCTGTGTTTATGCAGAAGGCGATTGGGTTCTTTTATCCTGGGATTATCTCCATAGCTTTGGTGAGTGTATATTTGACGTTTTTCCTACATTTTTGTTTGTGTGTGTGGTGCGTGAATTTTAACTTTTTTTCTGGCATGGCCTTTTGATTTCCCTTGTATAATTGGTGAACCAGATTTTTTTATACGAAAAAAGTAAAAGTAAATATTTTGTGCACCTGACTATATGCTACTTTAGCTCTTGGTCGATCATGGCTCTCCGCAACATCCTGCCTATTAAAATAAAAACTGATTTTTTGATATTTGGTCATATTTTGGAAAGTGTGTTAGGCTGAGAATATTTCAGCATTCTCTTATATATATATATTGTGTATGTATATCTCCTCTTGGTGTATTTGTGTGTACTTGTTCGTGTGTATTTTTAGGTGCATAATTAAATGAGAAGTTTTTTGTTTTCTTATTGAGGACATTTTTCGACTCCCCGAGTGCTTATTTATCTCTGTTTATTAATTTTGCACGTTTTCATCTCTTAATGTCTTTTCGACTCCACCCTTTATTAAGGTAGCTCCGTTTATTGCATATTGAGAAGGATTACGAACCCTAATTATTAGAAATTCTTGTATTAGGTACCTAAAATATATAGTTGGAGTGTGGTTAACTTATTATGCTAAAAGTACCCAGAATCGCTCCTGTGGATAACAGTGAACTTTATACCTAGCCGACGACTCGTTGTCAGCTTATCTTTCTTAAAGGTAATTTTCAGTATCAAATGATTTTGCTAACTATATATCCCTTAGCATCTGAACAAGTTCCGATTTGATAGTCTCTCTCTTATTCCCATTCTCTAATTAACATAAAAAAAAAACTGAATGGCAAGATATTTATATACTCCGGATAACTGCCAAGAAGAAATTATGGGATAGTTGATGTTGAATTATGTGCTGGTTTTCCTTGTTTTATTTAAAAGATAAAAGCGCTTCCTTTAAAATACAATCAAACACATTCCAATTTGCATAATTCGATTTTCTTAAAGAAAATTCCCCTTGCTTAATACAAGTTGATGTATAAAGAAAAATTACAATTTTTAACGCTTCTCTTAAATTTCATAATTCTTGAGGCCTCGTTAGATATTATTTTCTGCATAAAAGTGGGCCTGATTATATTTTGAAATATCTAATACAATCAAATTATTAGTGGCAATGTATGACTCATATTTCTATTATCTGATTTCTTTTGCTTTTTATTACGATATCAGGTTAATATTTGAACTAGATTTCCTTAACATGTGTCACATCTAACATCTTCCTGCTGAGTAGGCCACAAATACTTCATCAGTAAAACTTTTCCGATATCAAAACCCTCACAATATGCTATTACTACTACTACTACTAATAATAATAAAGTGGTGGCCATCACGGTTGGTTGTCGGGAATGTTTATTTGGAGGATAGGTCAGGTAAGGCGGCTTGGGTGTCAAATCTAGATACTTGTGTATAATTCCGAGACGGTCTGAAGGAACGGTACCCAACCTGAAGGTATTTTAAATGGCTCTCACCTGCACGTTTATGCGCTGATTTGATCAAAGCCTGTCTCCATATCACATATGTTTGGCTGTGATGCATGTTTTTGGTCTTAATTTATCAGAGAGTGTGTTATAATAGATGTATTGGGCTTCGTATAGTTGTTCTCTAGCGTCATTTAGTTGGCATGTTACTTTCTCTCTCACTACTACTACTACTACTACTACTACTAATAATAATAATAATAAAAACATTATCAGTGCATTATGAAGCTGTCAAATGGAGTAGAAAGATCAAAATAGCAAAATCGAAATAGTGGGAAACAAGCCAGCTCCAAAGTATGTGTTAAGAACAAAACTGAAAGAACCTCGGAATAACTAAGGAGTAAATTGGAAGTAAAACATCTACAGGAGCTGTTTTTAAAATAAGTCAATCATAAATCTGTGTATCCAGCGAAACAAAATGGCGGCTAATAACATCTGGCCTAAAATCTGAAGGTGAAAGGTTTATTAATGCTGCACAAGACAGACCAATATATTATGACCAGTTATTACTAAAACAAAGATATCGAACGACAACATCAGGTCAATGTAGGATCTGCATCAAGCAACAAGAAACAATATCACATTTTATCTCAAGATGCAGGGAATTGGCCAAAATATATCTCATACAAATACACAACAAAGCAACAAGATGACTTCATTGGGCAATCTGTAAGCATTATAACATCAAAATCAAAGTCAAATACTATACATATTCGCCAACAATTATGACAAATCGATGAAGTATTGCCTTGGACGGGCTAATCCACACTGATAAAAGAATAAGGTCAACTGACTTGATATAATAGTGAAATACAAAATGAAATGAACTTCTCTGTTGATTAATATGTTTCTCTCCACCGAAAGAACACTTTCCATCTATAGAAAAACTAAATATGTTAATAGTGAAATGAAATATTTAGTATTCATAGGCCGAATGCTTAAAAATTCCAATTTCCTGAAAACCTGAAGGGAATTGGAATTTTTAAGTTTGCTATCTGTCTATATTTCTGAGATGAGGTATTATGCTATTTTCATTATTCGGACTATTGTCCTCATCTTTGTCGCCATATTTATTCCGGCCCTCCCTGCTGAGTGGAATGTTGATCTGAACCCTTTATTTCGCTCACTGGGGTAGATTGTTCTAGTTCCACGTGCCATGTGCTTCGGGCATGTCTAATGGATGACAGTTATGACCTGTTAATTTCCCTCTCCAAGTTCCCCAATGCCTTAATCGGGTATCGAACTCACACTCTTTGGCTCCTGTCACTGGATCTAACGCTTTTATCCACTGTGTCATATGTCCTTGAGGACGCCTATGTATGAATTTCTCTGTATTATAAGTTTAATGTCTCAGCAACAATTTTTTACCAGTGCTCATATTGCAATTATTTTTTGCTGTTATCATTTCATAATTTTTACGAGAGCTCATATTGCAATTTTTGTTGTTTAATATAAGTTTGCTGTATTTTATCGCGCATTCTAGCATTAATGGGGTTTCCTTCCAAAACTTTTGTTTAAGTTAGTGTTGAAATTTAACATCTTGATTATATCATCATTTTTACCAGCAACACATTTTTGTTGTTGCTGCTGTTGGAAGTCTTTAAGTGATGTGATTTTTTTCATTTGATAAAGAAGTTTGTTTCTGATTCTGTAGCATCAAATTACGGAGTCTGATGAAGGATTGTCTTTTTAAGACCTAAAGAATTAATTTGATTGAAACCATCTTAATCATTGATATGAAGAAAATGGTTGCAGGGAACTAATAGTTTAGATATTTATGAAGGGGTTGGACGTCAATTTTGGATTTCACGCGTTTATTTAATAACATGTCTGGAGTTTGTAGGTTAATGTTTTGGTTTTGTAGTGTCATACGGCATTGTGTGAAACTATCCCGAGTACAACCAAACCCGTGTTCAATATCCTTATATCATTATTTTTACTTCGAGTTACCCATTTTTATTTCTATTAGAGGTCTTCAAGTGGTTTTTGTTAGTACCAAGTTCCTTTTCTTTAAGAATTAAAGGACTTATTTGCTTGAAACCATTTTTAATCATTGATCTAAGAAAACAATTGCATAATAAATTAGGCAAGTTTGAATGGACGCTATGTGTGACATCCACATGATAGTCTAGATCTGATGAAGCTATTTAAGAACTTGATTTGTTCCTAGGGTGATATTTTAG